AAAAAAAAAGAAATTGAAATCTATTTGCCCAGTGGGCTAGTAAGTTTCAGCTTTCAGTTGCCTCCACTAATATGCAGCCTACTTGCCATCCTGGCAGCCAGTATGGCAATCAGAGTACATGTTCACCTGTATGCTTGGATCCCTAACTAATAAATTGCTTTCAACTCAATGTTTAATTACACGTACATGTAGTATTGCTGTCTTAAGTTTTGGAATAGCTTCTGACTGGAAATTAGTCACTTACTGGTACATATTGTACTGTGGATAGGTAGGTGTATTTGCCCCTCTGTATCGCAATCCATCAGTGGTTGTTTGTGGTGTAACAGGTGTGGTGGGCGCTGTTTCAGTAGTTGTAGCACCACTGCTTGTTGTAGGAGTACTGGACCCCTTCTGAAAATAAAATAATAACAAGCTATAAATAAATATCGTCAGTCTTCACAGTGTAGCCAATAGGTGATACAATACTTTGTATCACTGGGCTGTACTGTCAAAACACTTACAAGCCAGTGACACCTTCACTGGGATTGTGGTTGGCTGGACAACAATGTGCAGAGGAAGACTGCAATAAATTTGCCTTGCAAAAGCTCCTCCAATAATTGATGTGGTGCAAACAATTACATGTTCAATCTCCACTTATCTCTTTTAGAATTTCACCATATCTCAGTTCATTAATATCAAGGTTACAAGGTATCTAAAATGAATGATAAAAGTGACACAACAATCAACAAAAGTATTAGAAATTCTATGAGGTGACATAATTTACCGTTGCTTGTGAATCAGTTGATTTGGTTTCCATCTTCATTGGACACACGAGATGCACAGTGTGATGTTTTCCATCTTCATGCTGTTGATAGTTCAAACAACAAAATTTTGAGTAGACAATAACTGTACATTTGTAGCATGTAATGACGTTGTTGTCATGCAACGTTTGAAAGATAAAAATGATGCCTTATGCAGATCTTCATTTTGTTTCCTGGGGAGATAAGGAAACCACTTATAATTATAATTCAACAGCTAACCAAAAGTGTGCTTAGAACAATGACAAAATGATTCTCACAGAGCCATGTGCCTGAATTATAGGGCTGCAATGATACAATTCCTCACAATATGATGCCTATCTCGATACAAGTGCCATGATACGATACACGATATGATACACGTACATCATTACATACAACTGACAGGTGACATAATCTTGCTCTTACTTAACTGTTTTGAAATCATTATTTCTATTTATAACAAACCATGAATGGATGAACCACGTGTTTTGTCCGCGAGTGCGCAAGACTGTGTCATCAGACAACTAATTGCAACTGAACATGACCGGAAGCAAGCAAAGCAATATGAAGCAAAGATGGACCTTTTTACCCCTTCCCCTGGCGCCTTTGTTTAATAAATTGCTTTAAAAGGGCTTAGACTTGGGTAAGGAGTCATAGAAAACAGCTATTTCTGAATGTTGAATTTTTTATTCATGACAATCACAATATCATAATATCATGATTCACCAGTGCATTGGTGTACATGTACACGTACATGTATCGTTGCAGCACTACTGAATTATGGCATAAACCTGAGAAAGATATGTGTACATACATGTAGACCTCTCTTCATGCCGTGTACATGTATGAAAGGCATTGTTATAATAATTTGAAATAATTCAGAAAATTGTGACAAATTTTGTTGTGATAAAAACTGTCTGAAAAATAAGAATAACATTAAAACTTCACCTTTTGTAATGCTTGTGACAATGCTTCATACTGTAGGACTACACTGCACAATACATGTACAGAGGTGGTGGAGAATTTTGAAACATGCAGGGTGGAGGGGGAGGGGGTCCTCCTCATTAAGCCAAGTGCATACTTCTACTCCTATTTTCCAAAATCAGTATGTCTTTTGTGTTGTTCATTTGCACAAACAAACTCCTTTGCAATATCTACAGAGTTCAATGTGTGTGTAATAGGCTAAACATGCATGACAATGCAGGAGAAGGCAGTTGTTTGGATCATCCTGCTTCATGGTGCTTCTTAGGTTTTTTTAATCTTTGGAAGTCGCCGATGCCACAGGTAAGGTCAGATACAATCTTCACAGTTTATGGACCTCTCCTAGTAGCATTTTGGTGACAGGAGTTTTGCTGAGAACTTCATAAATGGTTCTTACATGTATATTTGTAACCTGACGTACATTGGGCAGATCACAAAACAGAATATTGTGTCAAACCAATTTTATGCTGTGCTAGCCATATTTTCTGCACCAAAACGTGGGGGGAGGGGGAAACTCCCCAAATTTTCGTTTGGGAGGACTGCCCCCTTGCTCTGCCGCCTATGATATAATAAACAACTTAAGGCAACTTGAGTTTGTGCAAAGCAAAATGGTCCAAAAGGTACATCACAGAATGTATTCGACTTGTATTTTCCTTTACTTGTGTGTCAGGGATGCACTTAATCATGAAATGCCAGGCATTTTAGTGATAATTACATACTAACAAATCTAATAATAACATTATTGGTAATTTGAATAAGGCAGTCCTTTACATAAGCCTTTCCTGGGATTCCTTGTCTTAAGGCTTATACATTGATATTTTGTAAGTATATTCATAAATGGCAAAAAAATAAGGCGAACAAACAAATACTTTAGAAGACAATTTTTTAACCCTCTGATCAAAATACTGAAAGTGAGCTTAACAATTTATGCATTTGTTCAACTTGAATAGAAATCAGTTCTGTTCAATTTCAACAGCTGTATTTTTCCACTCAAGGATTAGACCGCCCACAGTTCTTGCTGCGATTTCGATGTGTACAATGTATCTCGATACCAATCTGCTTAAAGGAACCTTCACTTATAATTGGGAAGCAGCAAGAACCCGTGTCGCGGTAAAGAAGAGAGAAAACATTTTGCACCAAATAAGCAACAAAACAAGTAAATACCTGACGTGTTTACATGAATGCTCGAACATGTTGGAAAAAAATCACAAATATTTATTGGGTAACTCGCGTCATGGGTAGTCATTTAATTTTTCATTCTTCGGCGGGGACAAAAACCCCTTGAATTAGGATTTCAATATAACGTGGAAATGCAAGTAACAATTAACTTATTCCCAGCTTAAACTTAACCGAAATCAGGCAAATGAAGGAACTAAAATAACTACAGTGGCTTTTACTACCTCGTGAATTGAAAACTATTCGTATCCCTACTCTCGATACAGCGCGTAAATTCAAGCTGCTTACCTCGCGAAACACATCTTTCAGGATTAAATTATCGTTCAGTAGCTGCCCTGAATAAATGATTCTCTGATGCTGGCTTTCCTGGAAACAGAAGCAAGTCACAATCAGTATAAAGTTCACCTGTTTACACATAAAGAACCTCCAAACGCCGTAAACGGAAGTCAAATCTTTACCGGTTTGGTTGGATAAACGCTCGATAGATGCCGTTTCAGTTGTTCCACTGACCACTCTAAAGCACAGTCTATCCTTAAATCGTCCACCTTTTGGTTAGGAGTCTTCACAACTAAAGTAACAGGCGAATCAAAGACTAAACTAGCCA